TGCCACAACAATATAGCCAACGTATAGTCGGTGGGTGGGGATCTGGGGGGAGGGGAAGTCCACACATCTTGAAGTTGTTGAGGTTGAGGAACACTGGGCTAAGAAAGAGGGGCAACCCATTTCTGTATCCCTGGTAAGGAAACCATGAAGTCACCAGGGATCAAATTTGACTCAAAGGAGATTTGACTCCCTCCATGTGTGAAGTTTTACAAAACTTTTATACAGCGACTGGGTGTCCTCATAACTTTGTTTTTGTGGTTGTCAACTTGTTAAAGAGTCCCTGTTTGCTTTAGCAACACGAAGAGCACTGCCCCATCGGCAGAAGAATCCTACAGAAGAATAAACAGTGTTGTTTTTCTCACTTCTGCAAATTGAATCCTAGCTTCTAGTAAACACTTCCTAGAAAGTTCCTACAGTAATGTGACACCCCGCAGGCTTTGAGCTCCTGCGGGTTGAAAGCGATTAATGTTTATTCTCTGGAGCTGTAATCTTCTGTTTATGCCAGAGCTGGATTGTTGCTCTCACACACACCGCCCACTCCTCAGCCAATGAGATGTTCACACAAATGTGGTGTGTGCAGAAAGACTCTTCCTGGGGATGGTGTTAAATAAAAGATGTTCTCATGAAAGGCACAGCACTCAGTTCCCGCTTAAGATACTTTTACTCCAATAATGCTGAAGTACTGGGGAATCTCACTGTAACTAACTAGGTTAGAGCCTTGCCTATTTAAAAATTCAGCCGACAGATGACACAAAGTGGAAGTGAAAATGATGGATGTTAAGTGGTGGAATTAGCACCTTAGCTAACTGTAGTCACCTTCTTTGAGCCTGGATGAATTGGGGGCTGGCTTCTTTAAAAACCCCTGGCTCTTTTGTCATGGCACCGGGGGTGACATGTTTGCTCAGTCGTAGAATTGAGGGATTGCGATGGTTGTGGAAAATGTACACAACAAAGACAGGAGGATAGATTTGGAAAAGAGAGATAAGCTTGCTACATGCCAAGAGGACAGAAATCCTGTGATTTTAGAAATATTGCAGGTCCTCAAATGTTGGCAGATGGACTTGGCGCTGCAGAAAGCGTTGTTCCTTGCTTTCAAATGTTGAGGCTCCATCCTGTGTTGTTCCTAGCCACCCTACACATTTATCAAAACGAGCTGCAGAAAATCATTTACGTACTGAACTGCGTGACTGAAAGACGTCAGAAAATTGCCATGCCCTCCCTCCCATCAGCAGTTTCTGTGGTATTTTAAGACACTGCTAGGAGGAAGGCTAGACTGCGATGTGTCCACATGAAGGTTTTATTTCCCTTTAAATAGGGGACTCCAATTCTGCCCCAGCGCAGGTGAAGAAAGTCTGGGGCAAACAGATTCATGAGGGAAGAAGCAGGAAAAGGTGTATTCATTAAACTTTGGAAAGGAGATGCAGCCTACCAGATTGCATGCTTAATAGTTATAAGGTATTCCAAGGAAGAGTCTCAAAAATAGGCAATTTTTAAGTCTGAAGGTTTTAAAAGCCTAATCTAATCAGGAGACTTGAGAATAGCTGGGGCAGTGGGAATTCATCTTTGCTGCATAGACTATCCAGTCAACAGTAACTTTTAGGAAGTTAATTAAAGTTCCACAAACATTGGAATCATGTCAGATTTTATTCTTGCAGTACAAGAAAACTTGGAGTGCCTTCCTTGTTACGTTCCTGGTAGCTTTTGTTTGGCTTGCTCATCTGGGTTAAGACTTGCTCCCAATATTCTGCAAAATTAAGAAGCTCTCTTGGGATTCTTCCAACTAGATTGTGCAACTTTGCCTTCTCCTTGCCAAGAGCTGTCACATTCCTCACCTTTCCTCCATTGTTCTCCTGCCATTGTAAACTGTCTTTCCAGTTTAGCAGACTGCACTTGTAAAATTCAAAAAGATCTTTATTAAAATCTTTATTATCCAGAGATGCATTCAAATATTAATGGATAACTCTAAATGGGCTGGGAGCTGTAATATTAAAACAGATGCTTTGCTGGCATGATATGTCTTTGGGCTGCAGAAAGTTTATGATGGTTTTGTACTCAGTTTGCTTTCAGGCTCAGAGCAAACTGTTGTGCCTTTCTCCAGCATCATGACTAAGTGCCTTTGCCTGTTTCTCCTCCTCCTAGGTTTGTCAGTTTGTGGTTTCGGTGAATGGGCTCAATGTTCTCCATGCAGATTACAGGACTGTGAGCAATCTCATCTTAACTGGTCCTCGGACCATCGTCATGGAAGTGATGGAAGAAATCGAGCCTTGAGATATATTCCTGATCTGCTGCTCCACCATTGTGGATTTAGCTACTGTGCAAATAGAAGCAAAGTTATACAAGGGGATAAAAACATACTTTTTCTCAGAGATCAGTTTTGCTTCCTAAGTACTTTCCTCCCCTCCTTTAATGATAGAGTCTTCAATGGATGTAGTCTAAGACCATGGGTGCACATTGGTGAGTCTAAACTACAGAAGCACAAATCAGCTTGTGCTACACAAAGGAATGGTTACAGATCCAAGTCATGGCAAGCTTAGACGGTCAGTTTCATGGATGGGCAAGGTCTGATGCAGCTGTGAAATCTCACATTAGGAATCACGTCTGTGCCAAGCTCCTCAATGTCATCTTGTTTTTCTTTTAATTCACATTTTAATTTGGGATTGTACAGATTTAGCCCAGGTCTTTCAATGTAATGTCTCCAGGTACATTATGACCACAACTTCCAGAATTCCTCAGCAGAACCAACAGGTGAATTTGTGGAGAATTCAAGAAGTTTGGGTCCAGTTTGTTTGGAACATGCTCCATTGGGGCAGGTTGACTTAGAGCATGCCCATCCATTTTAAGGATCTGGTAGCAATTTCAGTTCAAATATATGGCTAGAAGTAAACTTTTATTTTGAAAGAAAAATGGTTACAGACTTGGTTCCAAGGAAGGCCCATTCCTACTTCCTGAACAAATTATGCAACAGAAAGCAAGTGTACATTTTAAACATGCTGTTTTTGCATAATTAAGTCTGTTTTGTAGCCAAGGATCTTGAAAAGCTAAACCAGTCAGACCTGTTTAGTTCTTTAATAGAAGACCACTAGCAAACCCTGGGTCTGTGTGTTAGACCGGGAAGTTGAGAAACTATCCAAAAGAAAATGATGGTAAATTACTTCCATATTGTTGCCAACAAAATGATATGGCTGTATCCATGTAGTCTATCACAGTCAAGCTCAGCTCAAGGGAACCGTTATCCTTTTATCTATGAAGATGGAGAAGAAACTTTATCAAGTACAGAAGCCCTGCCATCATCTTGATGAAAATCTCACTGAAGAATATAGTAGAGCAGACAGAATTCACTCCCTGATGCACACCACACAGTCCAGTCTTGCACAAGACATATGAACCTTAGTATGATGTGCTACCTACTTCTGGACCACCTGGGGCCATCAGCTTACGTTATAATTTAGCTGACATGCACTTTGTTACAATTTAGATATGCTTTTATAAATAAGGTGGGTAAATATCGATGCCACAATTTTAGGACATCCAAGATTCCGAGGTTTTTTTTTGAATACATCTATAATATTGCAAAAAGCAAGTCAATCAACTCTTGTTTCGACAGTTATAGAAACCTGACAAAATCCCTTGTGCTACAGCAAATAAAGTGGAATCTTATAAGCCATGCAGATAAATGTACATTTATCACAGTGGCTTAGCATTCTTAATCTTCCTGTTAGTTGTGCCCCTGCAAGGATTAAAAGGCCCACTGATGTTCTTTTGGGTCCTGATCAACTTGCCATCAGAGGTTGTGATCCACACATTTCATCCATCCCCAACAAGATCTCCAATGACCAACCTAAACTTGAAATTAATTGTGTGAATGCACTTATCGAACACAAGTTGTCTTACACATAATAACCACAGGGAAGGGTGGATATCAGGATCATGGCAAGCAGAGAGAAAGAATTTAATTCTTCTTCTATGATACTCACTAAATGTCTTTGGAGCTGCTAGTTATATTTTAGAAGAAGCTTCCATTGATGCCTGCGGGAACTTTCCTGATACTGAATGTAACAATGTTGGAAAGATTATTTTTATTGGGATCTGTGGTGAGAAGCAAAAGGCCTCTCAGCTCTAATTTAGCTGCAGTTAACATAGACTCTCCTATTTACTGGGGAAGGAAGAGTTTGGGCAAAATGGTGAAGGAAAACTGGCCTTTCATATTTCAGCTGAGTCACATGTGAGCTGCATTCACACAACACAATCAGGTCTGGTAAAGATTTGGATGATTCACATAAATCATTGTTTAATTAGTATTAACCTTAATTAGTTTGTTATGACTTTGTGACTGTGTGAATCCAGCCTTTTTTAGTTATTTTATGGTTCAGTTTATTGTGGAGATCTTGAAAAATGGTTAATTCAGAACCCAGGTAAACACAGCCTGGTTCTGATAACTAATCTTGCATTAAGTCATTAAAGGTCACTAAGGTCATTTGAAGATGTTCAACCACTCGTGGTATAGTCCTTCCACAAAATGGTTCCGTCTCCACTGTGAGATAATTTGGAACACTAATCATTGAAATGTTCCCTGTTCTTGTAAGGCTGTAATATCCATGCCAGCTACCTTTTTATAGGAAAGGAGACTTCATAGTGATCCAGCCAGAGGAAATACTCTGGCAACACCAAGTTTAAACAGTTTCTCAAGACCTGAGGCTGTAAAATGCCTCTTTGCCAACCCTGAGACCCCAATGATTCTTGATTTTCAGTGGTCGTTCTCATCAATAAATGGATATGCTGTCTGGAAATTATAGCCCCACCAGATCTGCAGGCCCCTGGCTGGAAAAGGCTGTGAGAGATGAAATTGGTTAGATGAGCATTTATTTGCTTCAGTTCTAACTAATTGGCTGTATTTATGTCACATACTTAACCAGGCCACATAAAGTCTTAGTGGGCACTTTTGCACAACATGCTAAACTTGGTTAAGTTTGTCTCTGTGTTGGCTTCACATATTATGCAAACTCAGCCTGTTTGGTTAGATTATGGTTCAGTGTTTTCTGCAAACTCAGAAAATGGGTTAATTAAGTAGCCAGGTTAGGTGTGTTACATGAACACAGCTGTTTAGTAAGAACCTTGGGAAGACCAGCGGAAGCCTCTTATAAGGTGTTCCAGTAATGAGCTTTATTCATAGACATACATTGCCCTCTAAAGCTGGATGGCTGCTAGCAAGCTGCTAATGTGTATAATTCCAAGGACAAGGATTAGACTTGAACCCCTGAGCTTGATGTTCCCTGGGTAGCATCCTAATCTCATTCATCCTAATCTGAGGCTTTCTAAATTGACTTCTACACTGGACTAAAATCTGCATGATCATGGAAAATCATTGTTTCTTACTTGCAATGCTGTGTCTGGTTCTGGGCACAGCAATCTAAAAAGGACATTGATAAGCTAGTGCAAGTTCAAGGGAGGCTATTCAGTCCTACTACAGAATGATTAAAGGAGTTGGGTATGTTTAGGTTGTAGAAGAAGTGAGATAGACAGACAGACAGACATATGTCTGCTGGACAGAGCAAGGAGCAGCAAGACATGAAATATGTGTCATGAAGTTCTGGTGCAAACTCTGCTCCTTATACAATATAAGGGCCATGTACCAAAGGACAGAGCTTGCATGGCAATGTCACTATGTATGTTTCATCAGTTTGGTGTCATCGTGTTTCAGAACGATGCCTATGTAAGAGATATAAGATAACAGACTTCAAATATGACATAGAAGGTGTAGACATTCTCTCTCGCCTCAGAGGGCAGTGGATTAAATCTATAAGGAAGTTGACTTCCTAAACATCTAAACATCAGGAGGAACTTTCTGACTATATGAGCTGCTACCCAGTGGAACAGGTGGCTGCATGAAGTAGTAAGTTCACCTTTGTGGGAGGTCTGCAAACTTGTCAGCTTTACCAGGTAGACCAGACAAGAAACAAGACCAGATAAGTTAATTCTACTTTATTGTAGAGCTACATTAACAGAATCTTGCAAATCTAAAGTACAATTCTCCCGCCATCTCCTTTACAGCCCGAGAATTTAGGAAGGGTCCCTTCTGACCCTCTTGCCCCACACATTATCCAGCTGCAGGCTATGCTGTCTCTTATCTGATCATTCCCTAGGTAGCATCTCTTGACCCCATCCCCCATGGTCATTCCCACACACCATTAAATCGCCGAAGCTGGATGGCTATCTGCCAGAGATGCTGTAGTGGATCCTGCACTGAGCAAAGGTTGGACTAGATGGCTTTTAAGTTCCCTTGCATCTCTATGATTCTGTGCTGTGCAGCCAGCCTGACCTGGTATCCTGCAGGAGTGTGGAACTGTCATTATCCTTAGCCAATGTGGTCAGTGATAATCCAACACATCCAAATGGGACCAGATTTGAGTATGTTGCTGTTACCCATCCCAGAGAGTTATAATGTTGGACCAGGATTGGGGAAACTCAGGTTTGAGTCTTGTTGAGCCAAGGAGCCAACAAGGTGACTATGGCCTGTGCACTCTGGTTGTGTTTGCACAACCTGTTGAACCAGGTGATTTGAAGTCCTCCTGGATGCATTTGCACAACATCCTAAGCCCAGTTTGATTTAATCTTGGTTATGGTTTATATGCCTTTGTGTGTTCATCAAACTCAGTTTGATTAGCTTATGAATCTGTTTAGTATAAGAGCACAGAAAAGTGGTTAATTTGGTAAGCAGGTTAAATGTTTGTGTGAACACAGTCCAGCTCTCTTGCAGCTCTCTCAGGATTGTTGTAAGGATGAAAGGTTGGGCGTTTCTGAAATGCACCTTGTTGAGAAAAAGCGGGACATAAATGCTGTGATGAAAAGAAATATGAATACAAAATGGATCAACTACCACCATGATCTGGAAGACGGGATGCATATATTATTTTAAAAAGGATATAAAACCTTGCAATTGTCTCAACCTGCTGCCTGGGATTCTTTATGTGGTAAGATCACATACTGTGTGTTGATTTAAATGCCATTTGGACTGAAGTTTTCAAGGAAGCCTTTAGCATACATTTTTTTTTCTGCCTTGATACTAAAATCAGTGGAAGCCTTTGAAAAGACTGAGTTTAAAGCTGTAGTATTCAATGACAGGCAGACATTCATGAACTCAAAAAGACTTTTGTACAGCTTGAGCAAAAAGAATGGATCTGCAGAAGCTTTATTTGGCAGGATTTTTGGAGCACTTAAAATAGAGAACGCTACAAGCATAATTGCCTTCAAATGTGCCTCTTGACATTGTGGAATAGATAGTTGCTTTTAAAGGAGCAGAGCATTCACTTTTTGAACTATCTAGTCATTTCTTTTCAGAAATGGTTGTGAAAAAGTTCGAATGAAAGTCTAGTGGAGAGCTGATGTTGTAAAATTAAGCTAGAGTTGAGTCCTTTCCCCACAAGATTCAAGTTAAAAAAGAAATGGTTTCATGTGATCTTCATATTCATCCCATTGTTATCACTGCAGATCCATGTGATCAGCTGCACCACTTAGAGAAAAGAAGTGTAAAGCTCCTCTCAGATCACTTTTAGCTTGGATAATCTATTGTCTCTTTTTAAGCTGGTGTTCAGATTCATGAGCTATGTAGCTGTTAGATTGAACAATTAAAATATCAGGTTTTAGACCATGTTTCTGGCAAAGATGAAGGAGAAGTTCATTTAGTTTGCATTTGAATATGAACCTACTTAAGTCTCTAGTTGGAAATTAGTAAAGAACTGAAACTTGGCTAACTTTCTAAATGGGCACTTTTCCAACATTTACAGTGCAATTCAACAATTTTAAAAAATGATGATTAAGGGAAGTCTATACAAAGTGCATATTTATGACAGTAAAGCTCAAGGATGCATTGTGTGGGAGGAAATTACTTGCAACAACTGTCCACATTAGCAAAATTGCACGGTTTGGAAGAAATGTGCACCCAAATGCACCCAAGTCTTGCTACTATCTTTTTGGAAATCTCAAACCGTCATATTTGACAAACTGAACTTGACCGGAAGCACTGGAGGAAAACTGAAATGGTCAGATTTATCTGTCCATGGTTTCAAGATGAATCTTGTGGGGAAGAGAGGGGAGGGCAATTTGACAGTGGGCAGAAATTTTTAAAAACTATATAAAATTTGAGTAAGATGTTTGTAAGTTACGGGGGAAATGTGGTTAGTTTTGAATGTGAACAGATATTTGCATTACTGCAATTACTTCTCAATCCAACTTTGACAAATGTGCCATAAATTTTATTTGAATGTATATCTATTTATATACTTTCCACAAAAGTGTATAAGCTGTATACAACAAGTATTCTGGACTGGGACTCGGACTGTATATGAACTGATCACATTTTTAAAATAAACTTTTTTTAAAACTGCAAAGTGTTTGAAGGCCTATGCAAATGCACATGATATGGCATTCTCCACTGTTGTTCACAACTGGAGGTTTATTGTACAGTCAAGGTATGCACCCAAAGTGTTGATAAAGATTCAAAGATTTATATCCCCACATATGAGGAGTACTAACTTCTCAGTTACACTGTTTATATGGTGAAGCCACCAGGATTTGGAAGAACATCTGATGCTAAAAATCAACCCTAACTGCACTTCTACCGACTCACAGCTAAAAAAGATGGAAACTTTTTCTCTACCACTAAAGTTGGTAA